TTATTCCTTCTTTTCCTTTACTAAATGCAAAAGAAAACAGCAACCCATATTTAAAAGGTAGACATTGTTATCCTTTATCGCAGTTTCCCTCTCTTCCAGAGATTAGAGTTTACTGTAGTACAGCAGCCCAATAGGATTGTCCTGGAAATGGATTTTCATGTAAAGTATTATGTGTCGCAAAAGGAAGGATCAAAATATTATAAAGAGAGAGAAGTTACATTATTATTTTTAATAGGATTGGTATTATAAATGGTCCTTAAAGAGCATACATCTGTTCCACTCAATGCTTTCTTTCTGAGTTTACCATGAAGTATGTTTTACTGATAAGACACAGCATTTTGATCCATTATTTCTCTAAAAGCCTTGTTAAGAGATTTGACCTACAAGATACTGCTCATGGTCTGTGGTACTTCTTTGAAAGTAAGAGTTTCCTTTCTGAAATTGAAGGAAACAAAATATATATTCCGCAGGTATATGTTTTTAGTGCCCCTTCCCTCCATTTGGATTATTAAATGCTAAGCTTTAAATAAAGACATTTTATGTAAGTTTATATTTAGACAATATAGCTGCTTGTTTTCTTTTGGGAAAAGAACAAATTTAAAACTTCTCTAATAAAATGTTATGGAAAAATTAAAACGCATAAGTGACAAAATCATTGCAACCCTCAGAAAATGGCACTGCTACTTTTCTGAGAGATTAGAGAGAAATTTGAGTGGAACCAAGTTTGTTATTGAGTACGTGTCTCTCCCTGACTTGAACACTTATTTTTCCAAGGAGGGGTTGGATGTCATTTTAATTCTAGACTATGATTGAATGCTTGGTTTCAAATGGGAATTCCCTGCCCCAGAATGAATCGGAATGTGCTTATCAGTAAAATAAGGGATGAGGGATACAGGTCTCATCTGTGCACATCAAAGGCTCAAGAGAATATCAACAGGCTAGAGCAGGGTATGTGGCCCTAATCTTGCCTCTTGCTTCCTTTTTCCTGCCTGCTAGTGAACCTGAAGAGATCAGGATGTCCTTCAGCCCAGTTGGTGATGGCTCTCCTTCAAGGACGTGCTCCTGGAATAGCTGGGTGAAGCAATCCCAGGGACCACAGTGAGAAACGTAGGGACTCCTATCTCCTAACTCGTATTGAGTGGAGCCCTCCTTGGACTCCATACATACATTTTGGAGAAATTTAACATTTTTGAAGTTTTGAAGTCCTGTCCATAAATATCATCTGAGCAGTTCTGAAATAGAACCCGGTGGACCGTGAAGTATATTTTAAAACTGCATGTACAGAGTTGAGGCTGTTTGACTTGTGGATGTTCATTTTGAGGGCTGTTTATTATAACTGTCTCCCAAGTAATGTTCACAACCCGCCTCTCAGTGAATTCTGCTGACCCACTCCCTCTTACCAATACAAAGGGCCTTAGAGAAACGAATTCTGCAGTATTAACATTCAGAGATTTTCTGTGGTTTTTATGTATATAAGTAATAGAAATCAGCAACAGAAATTTAAAGATGGATGGTTCTAAATTTTGAATGTACGTTGGAGTAAGAAAATAAGTGATATTTACTGTAGAGATATTTAAAAAGAAAAAAAAAGAAAGCATTTTGAGGCTAGATTTCATTGTACTTTGGTTGATTTTATATATTTAAAACATGTTTATAAAACATATTTTTAACTATTTTCTCTCTATTCATGTTTGTTTTCTCTCTCTAATCAGTTTTAGTATTTTTTGGTGTAAGGCAGGTTTCCAAGAGTGAATTACCTACTCACAGCATTATAACTATAGGAGATAAGAGTTTAATGTACAGTGCTTTGAATTGTGACTGTTGCCTGTGAGGGATTTACTCATAAAAATGAGATCACAATAAAAAGGTAATGGGACCAACAAGAAAATGGAACTCCTCATGTCTAAAAGGGAGCACAGGTCAACCATAATTAAATTCTAGAAAGTTACAAGTACATATAAGTATAATAAAGGATGATAGAGATGGTTGATATAAAGACATCATCATTATGGGTTAAGGATAAAATTTTCATGGATCATGTTGGCTCCCATTAAAAAATGGTTCAATAACTATTGCTCAGTTCTGATCTCATTTTGACTTCTCCCATCATTTTCTATTCAGCCAATTCTCTGTAGCCATTGAGAAAGAGCTCAGAAGAAAATCCTGCTGTATTATGGTTGGAAAGGTGCCTGGTAAATAATGAGAATTTTGGTACAACGGGCTCAGATTTCTCAAAAATGTTGCAAAATCTTGACCTGATAATGTATTTTCTTATGTCACTTAATTGCAAAGAGTCATTGCCAAGTTCAGGTGCTTCCTATACAATCCTAATATGGCAAAGGAAGCAGCTTCTCTCCATTTTGTGCTCTGGACTATCTCCTAATCCCAAACTTCAAAAAATATATATTCTCCTGTTAATAGAAATATACAATTCAAGAGCACATTTGTTCCCATGAAATTTCTCCACGATTTTTAACTGCTGAGATATGAAGGTAATCTTTTTTTATTTTCCATCCTCCTTTTTCCAAAGCTGTGTTTTTGTAATTAATATCTAATAATAAAATATGTATATGTGTTTTTTGACTCTATCTGATTGACATCTGAATTATATGTAACCTAGAGCTATATAATGGAGCCAGACTTCTTTTGAGCTTACAGTTTTGGGAGCTGATCCTAGTAATAATTATTTCCTTACTTTTCACTGCATTTTAGTAGAAGTAACTTAATGGAAACTTTTAATAAGAAAAACAAAAGGAAGTATTTTTTAATTCACAAATTCCAAATTCCTAACTTAGGGAGTTGAGAAATAGCCTAGAGCTGCCATCTCATTTGACACTTGAAAAGTAGGTCTAATGTTTTTGGAAGAAAAATCTTTGTGTGTGTACATCATATGCATTCTCACAACTCTTAAGTTCATTTGGAATTTGATGAATTAAAAGATACTACCTGTTGTTTTTCTTACTGACTTTCCATTAAAATATTTCTACCAAAAAAATGCAGTGAAAAGGAAGGAAATAACTCTTACTAGAATCAGCTATGTCTAGCTCGATTACCTATGTCTAGATCCCAAAAATGTCAGCTAAAAAAATTAAATATATATGTATATATGTGTATATATGTATATACACACACATAAATGTGTACACACACACACATACAATATGCCTGCTGAAAACATTGCTATACAGTTTTAATATGTCAATCTTCTGACTTTATTTGCTCATTTCAAGTAGAATATAATTTAGATGCAATTCTACATTAATTGTGTTTTATTCTTAAACAACCTGTTATAAAGAACACATTGAATGGAGTCTTAAAATGAGATAATATGCACTCTGAGATCCTACAGAGAAAAAAAAAGAAAACCCATTTGTGGAGTTACTGGATAGTAACTCTATTTTGAGACAATATTGCTAACATGTTTTTGTTTTGTTTTGTTTTGTTTGACTGGGAAAAAAAACTTTACTTTGTTTGGGGCAGTGGGCAGGGGTCCAGTCTCAGAACTCCTGGAACTCCTTCTTGGTGCCAGCAGCTTTGGTCACCTGGAGCACATTGAAGCACACCGTCTTGCTTAGGGGAGGGCACTCGCCCACTGTGACAGTGTCACCGATCTGGACGTCCCTGAAGCAGGGGGAAAGATGCACGGATACGTTTCTGTGGCGCTTGTACTTTCGGATGCAGTGGAGGTAGTCTTAGAGGATGACAAGGGTTCTCTGCATCTTTACCTTGGTCATCACGCCAGACAGGATCCACCCTTGGATGACAACATTACCAGTAAAAGGGCATTTCTTGTCATTGTAGGTGCCCTCGATGGCCTCCTTCGGTGTCTTGAAGCCCAGACCAATGTTCCCGTTGTTATGCGGGAGCTTCTCCTTGCCAGTTTCTCCAAGCAGAACCCTCTTCTTATTTTGAAAGATGGTCGATTGCTTTTGGTAGGCACTCTCCACCTGAATGTCTGCCATCTTCCCCGCCGCCTGAAAAAAGGTTAATGTTTTAATATTTAAGAAAGGAAAAGACTCAGAAGATTTTAAAATCTCATGAAATCTTTGCTATAGCTTATAGATACGTGTTCTGATGGTAATTTCATAAGTTATTTTCAAATAATTTGTTCTAAGGTAACTTATTACATTAAAAAAGAACCCCATAAAAGATGTGTTTTATCTTGTACTTCACTCAGAATCACTTCTTTTCCTTGTTTCATTTAAATTCTCGGCTTTATATTGTCACAATGCTTGATTTTGTTTTACTTCTTGAAGTACTTCGTGATCATATAACTGGGACTAAGTAGGAACCAAATGTACCTAAACTTAATGGTTGCTGCTCACCAACTACACAATTATTGTCAGGGTGGCTAAAAATGCAGAAAGTCTGTCAAATATAAAAGAAGCACACACAGGGAGCAGTGGTGGGGAAGATGGAAATCACAGCTGGAGGTAATGATTACTCTAAATGTCTTGCTACAGCAAACATAGCATTTGGAAATTCATGAACATTTCTTTTAAATGTGCAAAAGTCTTTGCAAAACAAACCATACATTAACTAAAACACTCATGACTGCACTGCCTACACACTAGGCCACCTGTAATTTTGGGGAAAGTTCCTTCTATGCAACATCAAAAGAAACAACCATAGATCTTTTATTTCAGAATTGGCTTTGGTGACATATAAGTTGGAAGTAAAAATACAGATAGTTCCACTTGTCTGACACCCAATATTCAATGCTATGCCACATAACTCTCCTAAAACAATAGTTTATTTTTTATGTGCAATATGTATCCAATAATCATTTTTAAAATGTGGCCATCCTTTGCTAAATAATGCATAGTAGATGAGTCTTTCTGCAATCTCTCATAAAAAATTAATCACCCCAGACCTATTCTTTAAAAATCCATTTGGGTTAGTAAACCCCTCTTTTGGGGAGAGGATTTGGCTTTTTTAGTAAAAAGGGAGGTTGACTCAGATCCATTCCAGTTCATATGTTCCTCTGCTCTTCTAGTGCCACCATGAGCTACTGTTCACTTTGGTGCTGGCCACCCCACAGCTTCCTGGGACACAGAAGACAACCCCAGGACTGCAGTAACTGAGGGCTGAAGATGGAAAAATCACAATTTCCTTTATTCCTCTGACTCCTGGTAAGTGGTCAATAAATATTTTATGAATGAGTGAATGAAAAAACAAGAGAGAGAAACAGAGAAAGAAAGAAAGAAAGAAAGAAAGGAAGGAAGGAAGAAAAAGAATACCCTTTATTTTTCAAAATACACCCATGCAGTGCTACTGGGTTTCACTGAAGAAGTGGTATGAATGTTTGGCCTTTTCTTTCTTCACTTCTGCACTCCATTCTAAGTATAGTCAGAAAGCCTTTCCTGCCTGAGAAATGGGAGTCCATTGTAAAGCCCTCTACCCCATTGTGGTCACTGTAGTTCACAGTCTTGGAACATGCTTTTGTCCTATAGTGAAGGTTACATTTTGCAGGAGGGCTGTGGGTAATGATGGTGCTGAGATGGCTCTTCTCCTTACTCTATTAACCATTGTTTTCTCAAGGTAACAGTTTTGCAGCAATAAATATCAATGTAATCTTCATTTTTAGCTGTTTGCAATTCTGTTGATGGTGTAGGAAAATGAGAGTGGGGAAGAGGTCAAGGGAATATCAGTTCTATTGAAGGTCTCTATTCTAGATCAAGACGCTGTTGTCCCTGGAAAGTATAGATGTCATCATTCTCTTTTCAAGAGGAGTAAATGAAATTACAAAAAGTAACTTGTATCAACAAGGACCTACTGTGTAGCATGGGGAACTCTATTCAATACTCTGTAATAACCTATATGGGAAAAGAATCTGAAAAAGAATGGATATATGTATATGTATAACTAACTGAACCAGCTTGCTGTACAACTGAAACACAACATAGTCATCTATACTCCAATATAAAATAATGTAAAAAAAAAGAAAACTAAAAACAGTAACTTGCAAGGTCTTCAGGTTGATGACTTACAGGGTAAGGACTGGAACCCAGGAGTGTCTAACTAGTGTTATTTCCATAATATAGCACTTCTCCAAATCTTGAGAGAGTGAGGGAAGTAGGAGTCATTTGGAGCATAAAGGTAGTTACTGCATAGGGCTGTGTGGGAAGCATGGGGAATTTTGGCCAGCAACTTTCAAGGAATTGACATCTTAGGGACATGGAAGCATGGCATGGCTTTAGCCAGAAAAGATCTTGCAAACTGAGCAGTTTATGACGATTATTGCGAGGTCAGGTGATTTTCCACTGAAACCAAGTGCAGAAGTCTCTTGAGTGTTGTGGCTTCCTGGTGTCATTTTAAAATAAAACCCATTTCATGGAATTGTAAAGATCAGTTAAAACGTATTTGAGAGAAGAAATCTGAAAACAACAAGGAACCATTGAAACACTGTTGTTATTTTTTCACTAGTCTGGAAGGCTAGAAATCAATACCTACTGAGGTTTAGCCTCTTTTCAGAATATATATCAGGATTCGGAAATTATTTGAGGTCAGTGTTTCCCAAAGACTGTTCTAAGGAGGTTATTTCCACGTGATGCAAGTACATGTTGTGGTTAAACATGTTTGGGAAACACAGTTAAACAGCTTACGGAGAGCCTTCAGTTTGTTCATGTACACTCTCCAAGGGTAGGAGCCCTGTTTACCAGAATTCTTTGAACTTGGGCCCTTTATACTTAAAGAATCACTAAAGAGATAAATGCCTTCCAAAATCAACAGAACTTCATGTCCCATATTCAAAACATTAAAATCTGAACTAACAAAGAGATTATTGGCTCCTAGAAACGCCCTGTTACCTCTTTACTGATAACAAAACTTACTGATTAATATTTTACTGTGTAAATACTGTGGCCTCTTTCATCTGTATCTTGGCAGAACCCTTTCTAAATAGCCTTTTGTAATTTGTTGATTTATGATTACATAGTCCAACCTCACCTTTGCTGCTGAGAGCTGAGGGCCCTCCTCTCTGCTGACCATGGGGCAGAGATTTGACAGGGTTCATATGCATAAGGAATCCTGGTTTTGATGTGATGAGGAACTGGTGTGTGGAGTCTCCAACGTTTGGGTGAAAAACGGTCCCCTTTGTCCTCTGTAACATAGGTCTTATAAGTGACAACATCTCTTTAAAAAAAACTGACAGTGCAGTAGGTTTTTCTACACCAAACAGGACTAGTATCCACAGACCTATCTTTTTTTTTTTTTTGCGGTACGCGGGCCTCTCACTGCTGTGGCCTCTCCCGTTGCGGAGCACAGGCTCCGGACGCGCAGGCTCAGCGGCCATGGCTCACAGGCCCAACCGCTCCGCGGCACGTGGGATCTTCCCGGACCAGGGCACGGACCCGTGTCCCTTGCATCGGCAGGGGGACTCCCAACCACTGCGCCACCAGGGAAGCCCACAGACCTATCTTGAGAAATGCCATTTTATTCCAATGATACATCTTTTCAAATGAGAAAAATCAGTGCCAGAATAGGTAAGCTCTTTGCTCAAAGAAGACAGAAGCTGGCATCTCTGTGGGGGAGTAGTTATCAGTTTGGAAGGACCATAAGAAGTTTCCTCAGTTTGCTTGTTCTTTTCCAAAAGAAAATTGATATCCTCATTACTTAAAAGAGAAAGTGAGCCTAGAGCTTAAAGGATGAAATCATTATCTTTGACAAGCTGAAAATATCCAAACTGAAATTTGCCCAAATACAAATTTCTGAGCTGGAAAAGAAAAAAAAAAAAAACTGTCTCTAGCGGATTCTGGGAAGAATTTTTTTATATAGCTCCCCAAAATTTCTACCACCGTATAATACCACGCAATAAAGTTGAGAGTGTGTATAGCACAGACTCACGAAGGAATGTGAAGTGAGCACAGCCATGGCTTCTGATGCATGTGTTTGTGGGTCAGTAATACTTACAGGTCCCCATAGACCTGCAAGGGAAGCCCCCATTTATTTATTTATTTATTTAAATTAGTTTTACAATACTGTGTAAGGAAGCCTCCATTTTGAACACTTGTTCATTCAGAAGAACTGATTATCTTGTTGAAACATATGTTTTTTTTTGCATTCTACTAGTCTCTTTTTTATTTTATTGCAGAGAAAAATGATGATGAAGTACCATGCAAACTCCAGAGTTCTTTGATAATTCACAATCAAAGGTTTCTTTCTTTTAGGAAATAGGACAGTAATATGATGAGCTGGAGGTTAGCGAGGGGGACGCAGTTGTTTCGTGTGAAAATATTTAATTTAGCTATTTTAATAAGTAGGAATTTCCTACAGCAAAATTTTCAGGAAAAGGATATTTTTATTTTTGGGACAATGTTGCCCGCACTTCTCTCCTCCAGTCTGAGCAGCATCCTCATAGATGAATGATCAGTTTGGACGGGGCTTTAACAATAATGGGCACGTGTAAAAGACACATCCTTAAATTAGAACTTAAGCCAGTCCACCTCTTTACTCCCTTTGTTGGCTGATGATTCATGTTCATTTCATTATCTCAATTTTAATGCACTCGCCGTCAGGAACTTTGTTTAAACTGAGCTCTGAGAAAGATCTGCCAGCGAAGTTGATTTCCTGACTCTGATGCTGAAACATCTGATGACACAGACAAAAATTCTCCGGAATATTCTCAGGCTGACAACACTAGGAAAGGATATTCTGTTGATATATTGCGTTGGCCAAAAAGCTTGTTTGGGTTTTCTGTATCATCTTATGGAAAAACCCGAACAAACTTTTTGGCCAAGCCAATATTGTCTCCGAGGGCAGGGCTTAGGTCTCAAATTTCAGGACTTACTGCTTGATTCTGTGAGAAGACATTCTTCAAGAATTTGTTACCCTCTACGGCATCTGCACTCCTCAAGCCAGTGGTTTCTCTCTGTGGCACCACCATTCTTCCAGAGACACACTATGGAACCCCTCTTTCACTCTCCCCTATCTGCTATTCCATTTAGTTTGTGTATTAGTTTATTCATCATACATTTGTTGAGAAGTTGTTACGCTCTCTAATACTGTTTCGGGCTAAGAGAAAAACTTAGAAATTAAGAAAACATTTTCAAGGACAGAATAGAGCAAAGACTTTGATCACAATGAATCAGAACAACTGCAAATGTTTCAAGTTCATCCTCATGCCCAGCGAAAGTTCATTTAGCTTTGGTTCTGACCATTAGTACTTGATTTTTGGCTTCCTACACAGAACGTTAACCCTTTATATATTGAAATAGTCCTTTTGTATGATTAACTACTTCAGGTACAGCTAATTCTCAATCTTTTACATGTATTAAAGAAATCAACACTTAAAAGTTTTCTCTTACAGATCAAGAGGCAGAACTTATTTCATACATCCTTCTGGTTTTACAAACCACGATGTTAAGAAATAGAAAAACTTGAGTTCTTCTGCACTGAAATAAATAACACTGTTTAGTTCGTTCTTCATGACCTTAGCAGAATATTGTAAAACACCTCAGAAGAACTTTTTGCAAACTGGGCTGCACGCTACCATCTTAAAACATTAATTTAATTTTACAGATTAGTACATGACACTGTCAATTGCTCAGATTTCTATGGGTACACAACATTAATGCCAATAGTAGATTTAGACCTTAGAAATATATTTATTAGAGGAGAAATATTCATGAAACATTAATAGAGTTTGATATTTCAGTTTTGAGAGTTATATTAATTTCTTATTCCAAACCATTATAAACTAGTAACTTAATTCAAGGGAATATTCTACATTATTTGTTGATATATATGAATTTATAAACCATGGGATGTCAGTCACAAGAATTTAAGCATTCTAACAGGTTACTATATTTTATTTGCAGGATCACTGAAATGTTAATATACTTATTAAGCACAGTGAAACATATACTTTTATTCCTTGAGTCACTATTTCTTTGGGACTATAGCTATAAGTTTATATTTATTTTCAAATAGATTTTTTTAACAACTATTGGAGTATAATTGCTTTACAATGGTGTGTTAGTTTCTGCTTTATAAAAAAGTGAATCAGTTATACATATATATATGTTCCCATATCTCTTCCCTCTTGCGTCTCCCTCCCTCCCACCCTCCCTATCCCAGCCCTCTAGGTGGTCACAAAGCACCAAGCTGATCTCCCTGTGCTATGCGGCTGCTT